ATTGACTTCAATGGGGTTCAGATTTAGCACCTGAACTTAAGTAAAGTTCATCAAACCCGTCCCAAACCGAACCCAGGTATGTACGGCACATCTTTACGGGTGATGGGTATCAGACAGAATAGGAAGAGAAGACACAAAGAGCATTTACAATTTGACAGAAATATCGCAACAGACACTGACTGCATCCAAAGCAAAATAAATGTTTTAGCTCGAGTTGAACTTTAATACCCAACTATACAAAATCACTTTCCCTGCCTCCATCTAAACAAACAAACAAAAAAGATCCAAAAGCATTTTTTCCACCCTCCAGTGCTGCACTCTATGTCCCCTGGTCCAAGGTGCCACACCTCCTGACTGTCATTAAACCCACCCATGTCAAGGACAAGCACCCTTCGAGGCATGCCATCAAGCCGCCCTGGGCTCAAATAGGAATGATGCAAAGCACAAAGCAAGCGTTATCACCTGGCACCGGTCTCTGTGTACATTGATATGTATACAAAATATAAACAAATGAACAGTTTGAAGATGCTCTGGGGTGGTGGTGGTAGTGCTGGTGGGGGGGAGGGGGGGTTAGGTGAAGCCTATCCAACCTTTAGCTTGCATTAAATACAAAATACTTCAGTACTCATGCTGTCTTGCTGTCTTGGTGAGTCAAAGAAGAATAATTCTCTATGCAGTGCAATGCATCTAGATAAGCGGATACAATGTTAAACCAATATCTGCAAGTCTAAATTTGTGATACATTGGAGCCTCCTTACTGAGGTAAATAGAGTACACTAATCTGTTTATGTAACTGCACACTGGGAAACATGGTACATCTGTAAGGCTGCTTTGACGAGGTTTAGCCCTACAATGGACCATTTTTATTAGCCTTGTTTAAGATTTGACAAAGACTGATTGAATTTTCAAAGAACTGCTAAGGAACATTTGATGAACATAATTGATATTGCATGTTGGTAGGCCAAAAATTGTATAATTACGTATTTGTATAATTAAGTTTTTGAGAAATATAATTGACATAAATTATCATTTGGCAAACAAGTCTGTTGTACTTGTGCTGCATCAGGAACTGTATATACACATTTTACACCAAATTAAAGAGGCTTAATGGTATTATTTTATTTAACAGTCTTTGCTTGGGGCATGTACTTCACCTTTATCCAAGATGAATGAAGGGAGATTGTAACTACTGTTTTAATGGCCAGCTTCCTTTTTTGTAAAAAAATGTATTAGTTCATTTTCCCCCTCTGATTACCATTCAAAAGCTTATAAACTATTGTGTTTACAACATTAATATTTCATGGGCTACAGTATGTCTCTGATGTAATAATTCTAATTTCTGCATATTTCAGAGAACTTGTATCTGAACATTTTCGGCAAGTAAGTTCCTCTCCCTCCACTCATTAGAAAACTATTCATCACTGCCCTGAACAGTGCCACGCGACAAGTTTGGAACATTTAGGGCTGGCCGACTTCTGAAAAATAAATGCTTAGTCCCATGTCTGGAAGCATGGATGAATGACACAGAGCAGCCTTTAAACTGAAGCCAAGCCTAGCTTATCTATAAAGCCGCTGCTTGAGCAGAGGGGACAGCTGCAAGCTTCATGTGGGGACAGACACCATAAATGTGGTGTGTGAAAAGGAACACAGATTCATCATTTACTTTGATTAATGTGTCTCTTATTATGCTTAATATACTGCATATTTCCAGCTAGCAGTCTGAACCTAGTTTCATGAATATCTATTTCATTGCATGCATGGGGAAACACCTGTTCACAGGCTTTGACTGGCCTCATTATTTCTCCTGAGCTTGTTTCCTTATTTGCTCATTTGCTATTGTTATTAGATATCAGCACTGACAAGATCTACTTTTAATTGATAGTCCTTCATGAAGTATAACCTTTTATAATAAACCCAAGGTTTGTAGAAAAAAAAGACTCAACTAACAGTACCTGCCCATAAGCTGTCAGCATTTATTTTTTATTGCACCAC